TTCCACTTCCAATTAAATGTTGTTTAGTTTGAGAGAAATAGCCAATGTGATAATATCTAACGAGATCAGAATTTGGGGGGTTTTGTCTCAACTGTCTGTATATTTGAATCCAATAATTTTTATTGCATGTTTTTACCAAATTCACATTTTTTTGCATAAGTATAAGTATGAAACTCAATTGAACAATAGTACAGTTAATTAAGCATGAAATTGGGGTCCACCTACCAATTTTGAGGTAAGATGCTGAAAATTGGTATACACCTGCATTTTGACGTTCTAATAGTTGTCTAATGTAGCCAAGGCTTTTTTAGTTATTGCAGGTCAAAGGTCACAGAAATCGTTTTTTTTTTGCGATTATCTCGGTTCCTATAGCTCCAACAATATTAATATCTATTACAAAAGTTAGAGTTTCTATGCACTTTTGTTTGAAACTTTTTTTTATAAAATGAACCGTTCTTGAGATAGAGCGCAAAAAGTGGTAAGCCCTATGCTCCAGATTGATCTATAAATTAAAGGGACCTAACGATGAATTTTTGCGTACTTGTTGTTGTTATGAGTCTAAAGTCTAAATTATTGGTGAAAGTTTCCCATCGATTCGGTAATGAGGAAGTTGTATAAAATTTTATTTTGATGCAAAATGTATTTAAAATGAAGCAAAATACTCTAGAAGTATATTTCCATATTCAAATCCTCTTTATACTGAACCACTTATAAATAATTAATTATTCAAATATTGAATATAACAAAGGGCGCGAAAACGCTCTCAAATTGGTTATGACGTCATGGAACGGTAAACAAACAAAAGTGTGGTTATGTTAACGTGATACGTGAGCCGTCAGACGCTTGTGCTTACATCGAATTCTACCGATGGATTCACCATTCGATGTCGGTCATTGTCTTTTTCATTAACAAAACAAAGATACCCCTCGTTTTTATTCTAATCGGCGACTTCAACGATGAGTTAGCTATTGTTATGATAATTATTATTAGTCATATATATTTATTACTATCATTACTACACTATATCTTTCTCTCTCTTAATGTATAGGGTGTGAGTTCACTGGAAGAGAATTGATTAGTCAATGCCAAAGCATCCTAGAGGGCTTTGTAGTTTATGTTAGTATTCATAGTCATTTATTTATTTTAACTACGTGTCTTTGTTTCTTATTAGGCATAGTTACGATAATTTTTAAATAAAGACTGCAAAATTTATCTTCCGTTGTATTTTTTTCCAAAATCAACCTAACACTATCTTTGTTTAGTGAATGGAAAATGACAATGATCGACATAGTCGCATAAACCAATGCCAAAACACAATGGGTAAGAGAGAGAGGGAGTACAGAGACTCGTTTTGACATATACCGTCTTGTGACGTCATCCTGCGTTTTGGCGCGAAGAGAGTTATTTTGAATTTCTATATTTTTTCACAGAAAAACTATTGGTTGAAAATTCAAAATTTATGTGGCAAGTGACTTTTTACAATGTGAAAAATTTAATAAGAGAATAAAAAAAAAAACTGCAAATTCCTCATTATTTGGGCCGTTACCGAGGGTCAAAGGTCAGGAACCGAGATAATAGCAAAAAAACGATTTCTGTGACCTTTGACCTGCAATAACTAAAGAAGCCTTGACCACATTTATTGCGACTTTTGGGACAACTATTAGAACGTTGGAATGAAGGTGTATATCAATTTTCAGCTTCTTACCTCAAAATTGGTAGGTGAAACGACAACGTGACTGGACTGAATACTAAAACATTTTAAAAATAAAGTAAACAAATTCCATATTCTCGGATCTTTTACTATTTATTTTATTTTATTTTTCAATATCAGTTTCTAATGAAACAATCTGCTTCGCGAATGGTCAAATCTAAATGGCTGCAAAGGCAATGCAATGAATCTCCAAAATTCTGATTTTATTGGAAATATCACTTTGAAAATATGTGCGTTCTTAGTACGTGAAGTTTTTAAGTTAGTTTTATATGACACAATAAATTGAAAAAGATAGCATAGGTAGGTATGATGAACAGAAAGTGAGGGTATTCAATTTATCTTAATGTTAATTATAATATTGTTACGAAATTGCATCGGTATTTTTGTTTGTTTGTTGTGAACGTGAACGATAAGTGAATTTTTGTAAAGTCAATTATTATTATTAATATTATCATTATCTAATATTAACAATAGTAAGCGGTAATAATAAACCGATGAGACTATTGCACTTGAGTTTGTTAATAATCAAACACTGTTAAAATAATATACACTTATCAGTGCTTATAGTGCACAAATGATCTTGTCCATGTCCATTCAGCTTTTTCTCCATCTCTTTTTATTGTTAGTTTTCTTCATGTTCTGCCATCTATTAGGATAGAAAGAGCAAACTTAAACTTGGGACACCGAGCGCAAACAAAAGTGAAAACTTTTGTTTCTGAGACAACTCTCAAATGAGCGTTCTGCATTTCCGCACATCATCTCTTTGATACTTGTACGAAACTTTTCCATTTCCTATCAGAATCCCACTTTGGTGTTCTGTAATTCCCTGTCAGAATCACACTTTGTTGTTCTGTAACTCCCTGTCAGAAATCCCACTTTGGTTTTCCGCATGCTAGCTATCTTAAATCATATTTAGCTCAAATAGTATATAAGTCTGTTCTCCATCACTGACAGATCGACTACCTTGCAACATTCATCGCTCGCGACTATGACGTTTTGAAACCTTTTTATTTACCTAATAGTATAATTTTGGTATTTACGGCCAGTCAACCAGAATTACGCTATGATCCCAATTTTTTTTTTGAGGAATTCGAAAACGAGACGACTAGTTTTGCTACTAGAAGCGTGAAAATTGTGAAACAATTTAACCTGCCACGATAGAATAACAAAATACATACATCATACATGCTACCTAACGTAGATCCTCTTTGAGATTGGGAAGCAGCAACTGAAGGACTTTTACATTGACTGCGCAATGGTTCATGACCAGTTGTCAAATTTCCCAAGGGATCCAAAGCTTTATCAAAGGACTTTTCCCTTAGTGATATACCAACGTTTTTGGTAGACTTTTCTCGACATGTTTTGCCTTCGAGCGACTTTTCGAAGCGTCTTGCTGAAACGCACTGTCTTTAGACATTTCTAGAGATTTATCTCTATTGTCGAAGCAACTTTCGCTCCCCAGTGAATTTTCACTCATCTCATCCATCGCACGCTGCAATAGAAAATCAAACGTTACAAAATTTTTATAATTTTATGTCTTTTCTGACATCCCACCGCTGCTCTATTATTCATAAACCTTTATTAATATTAACTTTTATTAATACTCAACAATAATAACTATCCGAACTACTTCCAAAATAATATTAATACAACGATTTCGATGAACACGTCACCACAACCTCACATCACCTGATTTCTCTCTGTCGAGTCTGTCGTGTCAAGCAGTGTCGAGTCATCGCCGACGTAACTATCGTAAAGCTTAATTCTCACTTGCGCGAAATGCTCTCTTTTTTGACATTGCTTCGACAATTTGACGTTTGAGCGAATTTCGCGCAAGTGAGAATGAGGCATAATCCCTCCAACCACAAAAACAGTGGCGACTCGTTAACACTATTTATTGCCTATTATAAAACTAACTGAAGACATAACTTTAAAGCACAATCACAACAATTTGTTGATAGCTATATAATTGAACAAAAAGAAATTGTTCCATCATGTTAATAATTGCAATACGTTTCAAGATATGTTGTTATAGTAGTTAAATTTGTGTGAGAAGGTTATAGATCAAATCTGTTAAAGCTCAGACTCAGAAGGTATCTACTTGTAATTAATTTTTGGAAAATATTTTGTTGTAAGTATAGACGACTGTTAAGAAAAAGACTGATTTGTGATGTAGGAAGCTTTGAAGGCAACATATTCTCTATATTCATATTTTAATTCAATTTATTTTGCTTAAACTGAATTTGGGGTTGTAACTTCCATATATTATGTGACAGTTTTATTATTAGGTAGGTATAGGTACCTTCGATCTAGGTACAGAAATCGGTAACTTTCTCCACACTTTTATATCATAATAGTGTTAAATAAGCATTAAATAATGTCTGTAGATCAAATTATTAGAGTTTTTAGCCGGCAAAAATACTGGCGATTTTGATTGACGCTACGGTTGTAAGCTACTTCTGAGGCAAGGAGAACGGGCTGTTCTTCCAATACTGCGCGCTTCCAAATAATAATAGCCCGTTAATGAGGGAATTAAACGGCTAAAATCTCTATAGCTTTGTTCCAACACAGCAGGAAACCGTACAATATACCGTCACGATTCTGCGCAAAAATTTGTGGGTAGAATCCGAAATTGGTATACTTACTGAGTGGTTTCGGAACTGTTCATGGGACGCTTTTTTGACGTGTCGGAACAGAGCATGTCCTCGCATCAACATAGTTTAGTGTAATGAATAGTCAATCTCCTTATCAATTAAAACTATATTCTAACTAGCAGTAAGTAATGTTAGAAGATAAGTTAATATATATAAATTATGGTATAAGTTTTATTGCCATTTCTTGGCTTTAACTACTTATCAAAGTGTTTCATTTTGAATAGTAAAAATAAAGTCTAGAATAGGTTAGAATATTCTTGTTAAATATTGTTGGTAAATTTTAAAATGTGTTATCACAAGAGTTGCTTTATTTAAAATACTGAATTTTCCTGAGAATTTATTCCATTAAAGTGGAGTTTTTTGTTTATTGACTTCCTTTTGTTTGTTTTATTTATTTTCAAGTTCTCCAGCTTCTACATAGCCATACATCCAGATAGATAGATACCTACTTCATGCTTAGCTCAAACAGCTAAACCATATGTTGAACTTTTTTTCTGAAATTGCACATAACTTCGATGGGGGATATTATAGCAATAATTATACTATTCAAAGATTGTTTATTACAAATTGCTTAAATTCCATAACAAGGAGACTCTACGATGAATGAATTTCCTCAACGGATGGTTGTTTTCTAGGTTTCTCCTCCTTCTTCCTTATCAAATAGATGGCGCTGTCCTAGAACCTCGTCCAGTACCACCACGCACATGAAAGGTGACAGGACATCTAAGAAGACAAGTGACAGGGACCGCGCATGCGCACCACACCTTTACCACATGGCGTTGATCGAACTACATCTACTGATAGCTTGGTTCGGGTTTAAAAAAGGACGGTTCTAGAATGCTTCAAAACAATCGCACAGTTTGTTATTGAAATATGTGATAGCCGACCCGTTGTCATTTTGTTGATTTATAAACTGTCCGATTATTTTGAACCGTTCTAGAACTGTCCTTTTTTCGAACCCGAAGAAAGGTAATATTTATACTCCATTCGCCAAACCTTTACCACTACAAACTATAGTACAAACAACTACCTATTTCAGCTTTCCATTGCGTGTAACTAGATTTTCCTGTCAACGCGATGGTTTCTAGGCCATACTCAATATCAACCTACCGAAGAACGGGCATTAAAATGTTGATCGTAAACTTTTCGTTTCAGATTTATTAATATTTCATCTGCTAGAATGTACCTGAGTACCAAATATACGGTCCATCGACAAAATTCGTCTCTTCGGCATTTTGACTTTGTTGAATACATGCCCATTATTGTATGTTCTGGATGCACATATATGCTTTCGTGGCTGGCTCACTGCCTGTATTTTAATTAAAAGCAACCATCTAAATTTAGTAAATTTGAAGAACTTTATTAAAGCAAAAAATCGAGAATGGTCAACATTAAAAAAAATATTGCGCCTCACGTGAATGAACGTGACGCAGTGTCGCTTGACCTCAATATAATAATGTGTTTTGTGAATAATAATGAAAAGGGCTCTAGCCAACAGCTTGGCGGAGCACACAAACAAAATAGGCGACGTTGCCAATAGTTACAAGTTATTGCCACTATAACTAAAAAAAATTTATAATTAATATGTTATAACAGACTTTCTTTGCATAATATAATTTTATGCCCAAGATAAAACATTTTCTAAGGTTCGCTTTCCGATGGTTAATTGTATTTGTTTCCCAAGCAGCAAAAGCTATAGTCGTTATGACGTCGATTTTAAATGGATTTACGTCGATTAACCAAAATTCGACGTCGGAATGGGATTGCAAAATATGACTTGTTTGAGACGTCACGAAGTGGATGTTTATTTGACCATGACATGAACCAACAGGTTCAAAAGTTACCTACCATGTAAAACCCAATATGGCCCATTCAGAAAAAAAACTCTGTATTAAGACGTCTATAGAGCGTCTACGTGACGTCGTTGAATTGGACGTATATTTGGTCAGTGTGGATCGATTGAAAAGTTATATATCTACATCAAAAAAAATTTCATCTACAATGCCATTAATCTTTACAATTCACTGCCCGAACAATTTAGAGCTCATAAACGCTCAAAATTCAAAACTAGCCTTAAAACTCACTTGTTTGACAAGCAGACCAACTCACAAGGGCCTTATCGCTGAACTTTCCGTTTGCCTACTATCTCCCAGAGTGTGAAACTTTATAGTCTTAGGTGAATCTTTAGTTTTGATTGATATTGTTATATAAATTATATTTGTTTTTATTATACCTACATAAAAAAATTATAATTGTTTTGGTTTTGCACTAAGTAGTTTTGGAAATTTTTGCCACTCGAATAATGATCATTCTCAAAATCTCAATCATCTCAATATTATTATACCTAATTGATGAATCATCACTGAAGGATCTGTGACTGAAGTAAGAAAAAAAGGGACCAGGGTAATGTAAACAAGCTATTGTACCTTTCTTTTCTTATCTATTTCTATATTCGTCATTCGGCAGTAGACTATTATGGAGGAATAAGCTATCAAAAAAATAATAATTACCTAAGTGGTTGGTAATTGGTAAGCTACTTCTAGTTAAGCACGTTTTGTCTCATCTCATCTGTTACACGATTATACTATTAAAAAGTGTAGCAGTGGGGCACTACCGAATACCGGCGAGAAATGGTTGAATTATGATTTGCTGTTGGGTGTCAGCTGCACAACGTGGTTTCAAGTGAATTCAGCCTAATGGGGCTTTAATAGAATAGCTGAATGCTCTTCAGCTTTGTCAGGCAAAATTGTTTTTGTGTTTTCCAGATGAAGAGTCAAGTGATCATGTTCTATATTGTAGCTGAAATGAAGTGGTCGCGTCTCTAAAGAGGAATAAAAAAACTTTTCAAAGGAGGTATCACACGGGGTAGTTTCTCATTATAAAAAAAATCATTAGGGGGGCAAGCCAAGACAAGAGGGGTAGGGGTTAGGCAATAAACACATTTGGATTCTCCCATGTGTATTTGTCACTGCTATCACAGAATTCCTTTGTCTAATAAGAGATAGGTAGTCAAAATTACTAGGTAGTATTAAAAATATGCTTATTTTTAAACACCGATATGTCAAAAACTAATCGTACGATTTAAAACTTTGCTATAAGACTGTAGAAGGTAAGCAACGAGCTATCCAACGATGTGCAACGCAAGAAAGGTTTGTATTTGAGAAAAATAAGTTAGGGTAGCTTTCCCCTAACAAATGAGGCGGGGTGAATCAAAAAGTGCCTCATTTTGGTTTCCCTCCAATCCTCCGATACGTATTTGACATCTTCCTGTATTTTTTGTCTAAGAGATATTCCCGATTGCTACTTTTCAAATTGTCATCCTTATAACAAAACTCTCGAGAGGAATAAAAAGCGGTTGACCTCTGTAGTGTAGGACCCCTTGAGCAGGCGAAGACTACGAATCATTTAGTCAACTCTTCTGACAGCCAGGTACCTAATACCCTGATCAACGTACTCATGAATCATAAGATTTCCAGTCAGACAAACCACCTGAAAAAACCTCCGACATAGGAAAAGAACAGAAAGTCAAAAATTTGGAACAACATAACCGAAGTAAATATTTATTTGAGTTGAACTTTAATACCTAATTCAAAACATATACTCTCAAAATACATTAAAAAAAAAAGAATAAAAATTAATTAAATTAAAAAAATATTGAGTTTTTAGAATAAATAAATTAGGCATAACAACAATTTGATAAATAAATAAAACTCTCATCTAAATATAACAATTTTATATCAATATTACATACCTAATAATTGATATCGCCAGCCAAATTAATTTGTTGCCAGTAAGAAAACACATAACATCATAATATAAGAAACAGTGAAAACACTGACATAACGACCCGTATTAAATAAAATACCTAACACGTTCAATATAAAATTTAGTAGATAATACTAGTAAAGGTACAAGCTAATACTATAGGTAAAAATTTAGTACAAAAAAGTACGTATACAAAAATACAAAATTATTAATGGATATATACGAAAAAAATATATAAAAATATATGTAGGTAGGAATTGAAAATACTGACTGTACTGATTGGAAGGAATTCTACTAGAGTTTTCATTTTTTTTTTTTTGCTCTGCCTGGTTGAACACTATTTTAAGTCAGAAATATTAGCTGTGTACCAGACCTGATAATTTCTGATGCCTGAATAAATTTTCAAAAATGTGTTAAGTAGAGCAGGAAATGAAATCCCCAAATAAAAACAATATTTTTTTTGAGAAAAATCGAAACTGAAGCAAGATTGAGGGGGTTCATTCACAAAATTGGTCGATTTTGAAATGATAGTTCAAAAAATATATGTTGTGGCATGCTCAAAATGTTTGCGATACTTGACGGTTTTTTTGAAAACGTCCGGACGCCCAATGAAAAAACTGAACAGGCATGTATTTGTTTTTAGGCCAATTTCGGAATCACGGTTAATTCAATCATTGTTTTTTTATTGTCGCATGATACCGAGCATATTGAAACTTGTTAAAAGTGGCTACTGTGAGAATACAAATAAATATTGTGAAATAAATTTGAAGATTTTTTTCTCAAAAACCTAGACAGAAAACTATAAAAAAACGTGTGAAAATTACCAAAGACATTCATAACTCTCCAAAATCCTTTATTCATCATAAAAGAAAACCTGTGGAGTGGAGTCTGGGCTCCTCATATTTTATGGAGTATGAATCAAAACTTGTTTGTTGAAGGGGTTATTCATGTCATTGTTCTGAAAAGCACGCTACTACATGCCCACAGTCTATATTTCTGTCATTATATTGGCTGTATGATCTTAACTATTAATGACTACGACAAACACTAGGTACTGATATTGGCAGATATGCAATTAATTCTAAAAAGCTTTCTGCTGGAATGAAAATTTTTAATCACTTTCAAGGGCTATAATATGTCATAACAAAATGTTAGGTTTTTCTTCTTTTAGTAATTTCTTCAAAAAAATTTTTAATAGGAACATTGTAATTATCTTTCTTCTTTTATTAAAATTGAAATATGGCTCCATGCTTTCCTAACTTTGTTATGGTACTGATAAAATGCAATGATGTTGAGAAAATAAGTTCCTTGGTTCTACAGGTCAATATCACTCTATTTAGATGTGAAATTCCAAAATTAAAAAAATTATAATGCTGGATCTATACAGACAAATAACATGATAAAAATAATAGATATTGACAAATTTTTCCAGAAATTGGGGCATTTTATGGAGAAAACATGACTATTGACACTAAGAGCGGGTATACCGTATACCATCTCATGATACAAGTTTTTAGCAAAGGGATATTCTTTTGGGCTAGGTATAGGTATCGAATTTGGCTACTAATGTGAGTAATGTTGATAACATAAACACGTTTTTAAAACGAAAACAATTGAACCAGTGGCTGCAACAAAAATGTTTTTATTCTTTCATTTCAATATCATTTTAAGTTCCATGCTATTTTTTGCTGTTGTTTTTAAATTCGAATTTTAATTTACTTTTAAATCCCTGTTAATTTTTTTTGTGATGTTTTATTCCTTAACCAATACTCATATGAAATGAAATAAGGAATGGTTACCTTTTATTTAGTCTTTATTTGAAAGTCTAAGTGCGCATGTATCGGACCTCTAACATGAGAGTGATTGGTTATTGGAAACATTTTAACTAGAATAATTTCCGAAATTATTTTTTGGGTATTGTGTTCTCTATTTTATTTAGATATATTTTAAACATTATGAATAGGCAGGTGTTTCCCATGAATTCTTATTGGGTGTTCGTATTTCTTATTGGTATTTTACTTCCTGTATGAATCCAGCATTAAATTTCGAATTATTTACAGCAATTTTATGGCTATTTTGTCGCTTTTAGCTGTTCTAACAAAATAGGTATATCACATTTTCCTTAATGCCAACACAGGCCAAAATAGGAAGACAGCTCCGGTTAAATACGTTATCCTGGATCCAACACACCAAAATGCAATACTCGCTACGATTGGTCCCAAAGCCCTAGCTAATGCTCCTAAAGATCGGAATATACCCATTACAGTTCCTTTTTGTTGTCCAGTTCCATATTGCGATGCCAGTGTAGTTATCGATGGTACAACCATAGATGTTGCTAGAAATAAGATTTATTGATTTTACTAAGCCTGTGAAACATAAATTCAGATAAGTTTTTTCTCTGTATGTACTTACAAACAGCATATAAAAATAAGCCAAGGTATAACATCAAAGGTCCAGTTGCCAATCCAACACAAATAAATGATGGAATAATAATCCAGAGACCTAATACTCCTGATGCTTTAATTTTTTGTGGAGGTATTTTTCTGACGTAGCCTCCTTGTATCAATGCCATAGTAACCCCTTCAATAAAATATTTATATAATACAATAGTCATAATACACAAATAAGCATCTAGCTGAATTAATAGCTATATGTGCTCAAAGTAATTCAGTTACAATATCTAGGCATGAAATATGCAAAGTGATTATGCTATTCGAGGTTGTTAGATAATCACAGTAATTCGATAAATCCTGGTGTTGCTTATGAATGTCTAGTTTCTGGGGACTAAGTTGAATACTTTCAAATCTCTTATTATTCTAATATTCGCAGAAACAAGTTACTTATAGAATTTTAGACCTAAATAACTGATGAATCTTTGGTTGGTATTTTTATAAAGAATTGAAATTTGCAACTTCCTTACAGTTCTACTCCTAATTGCATGGCAACGATTTACATGTTTCTTTGTTCTCTACCTAGAGCATACAGACAGTAAATGGAAGGATCTGGTATTTGAAATACATATTTTCATTATGTGGAATTTGTCAAATATTGTTGTCCTCTTTTATTTATAACCTTGAGAATATAGTTTCGAGTAGCATAATAATAAAATTAATAATTAAATGCTGATTAAACTGATTAAACATTATCCACAAAAAATAACATTTATAAATGGGCTATCTAAAAACACGGTTCTCTCATTCAAGATGACAATCAATAAATAAAGAGACAAATAAGCATTATTCTTACCTATAGCGAAAAACATCCATCCTTGTTGCATAGAAGTATACTTAAAAACGTGATGTGTCAAAAAAGTTAAAGTAAATTCTAATCCACTATATATAAATAAATATACAAAATATATTAATCCCAGTCTTTGAAGTTCCTTTAAGTCTGATGGTTTTATTTTCGTAACAGCATTAAATTGGAAAATATCTTTAATACTGATAAAATTTTTTGTATTTTCAAGTGTTGTTGAAAAACTTTTGGCACGTTTTTCCTGAAAAGATTACATAACTTACTGATACCTATTAGCTATTATCTATTTGAATAAATTACTTACTTTTGGAAGTGATTCCTTGAAAAAATATGAAAAAAATATTATATCAGCTATGGAGAGCATTAGAGCAAAAAGGGCAGGTACAACATACCAATTTCCTGTTTTCTGTTTTGCCCATAACGCAAATATAGCCCCTATCATTGGCCCAATTATAAATCCCAGAGAAAACGCTATACCCACGAATGCCTTGAACATAAAATGTTGACTATTTTTAAGGTGTTTGAATCAAATCAATATCACATACCATTCCCTTTCCACGGGTGTTTATTGTAGAGACATCAGTTATTATGGCCATACTTATCGAGACGTTTCCCTTACTAATACCCCCAATAATTCGGGCCAAAATAAATAATAAGAGATTGTTTGATAACGCCCATAGTATGTATGATAAAGCAATTCCAATCTGTAAAATTACAAGAAAGTTATTTAAATTATAGTAGGATTATAAATATAAAATTAAAGTAAAGATTTAATAAAATTAAACAGAGATCTACTGAATAGGCTTTATAAAGGAATTGATACAAGCAAAAAGAATAGAAACGATCTGGGAAGTTCCTGAACTACCATTAGTCAAATTTCCAAGAAAAATTTGAAAATAACTTGTGTAACTAATTATTAAGTGATACTTAATGGTAATAATTTAGCAGTTTTCTATTGATTACCTCTAGATTCGTATTTGGAGGTAGTTTGATAAAGAATACATTTAATTTAATTCGCAGGTGGAGTACTTACGCATATTTGTTCAAATTTGTCTATTTATTATTTATTCAATTAATTTTAATCACATTTACTTTTGCATTTTATTTCAATTTTCCCCCCGGTTGCCTCTATGGCCTATGCAAAGGACTGTGAATTTTTTTATTTTAATGATAAAAATGAGCTTAGATACCTACATTTCTTTTTCTATTTGATAACTAGATAAACACATTCATAAACGGAGGGAAATGGATGCTTTGGAAGTAATTTCGAACATGTACGAAATTTAGGCGTTTTTAATATCCTCTTGTGTAAAATAGAAATACAGCAAATGTTAGAAGAGGAACACAGATATTGAATATAAATGGTTTTGAGTTGATTAGTTGTTGTTGTAGGAATGAGATAAAAATATGGAGTGACAGGTATAATATTTGCGAATGGAAGTCTCCATGATCTAGAATTTGTTTAGGTTGCAAATTGGTCTAAAACAAAAATTTGTGATATTTGTTACAATTATAAATTGGATTTGGCAATAATATGTAATCATAGATCTCCAAATCGAAATATGTATATAGATTTTTCCATGGCCCTACTGTCTCAAGCTAACAGAAATTTTGGATATTAAAATATTAATTCTGGTACCGAGAGATTTCAAGATTCAGTTCAATGATGATACAGATTTTAGTAATAATAAAGGTGGTTCGGATGTTTATGCCGTTTGAGTTAGCTTGGTGGTTTATTGAGCAAATGCCTACTTATTGGTGCAAACTATCTGTATCAAGATCTGGAAAGCATATTTCCTAATAATAAAGATCCTAATGTTAACAACGGATTCTGACAATAGGTGTATCTAATCAGTATTCAGAATTTTCTTCAATTGACAGTTACTACTGAAGCATTAACATACAAAATAATAATTCTAATTCACAATAATTGATAAAACATGAATCAGATTGGGTCATTGGATCAATGTCAAGGGGACCTAGTTTGGGCTGCATTTTTGAATGTAAAATCCTCGGCAAAATCACTGGAATCAATACATATTATAATCAATTTCATAGCACTTATATGGTGATATTAAAATTTGAGTTTCTCAATAAAGTGATAGAAAAAACAGCCAGAAAGGCTAAGGATAGGTTATTGTGTTCAATTGTATGGATTATACAGTATCCAACAGAGGCAAATGAAGAAATTTCCAGTAACTATATAGAAAATATTCATTCAGATGCTCAGACAGTGAAAAAGGAAGTACCTATACTTAGCTGTATTAACTATATTGTACAGATAACTATAGCAAAACCATGATGAAATATAATTAACACCAAGCAGGCATCAGAAAAGTATATAGAGTAGAACCTGAAAATGTTCACTCGAATAAATCAAGTACCTTTTTTTTTAGTCATGCAAGAAACATTGTGAGAGAGAATATAAGACACTGATGTGTAGTATAGATACCTATACATATTCCATATTCAACTCCTAGTATTTTTTGACAAACATGACACAATAGCAGGGCAGCAGCTTGGTTTTAGGAAGGAAAAGTCAAGAGCTAGTGTTGTACAGCATGAATAAAGCTTTTGAAAATAAACAAAGATTCCTTCTAGTAATTATAGATTTAGCTGTTGCCTTCGATTGTGTGGATAGGAACTGTGCAGTATTATGGAGTTAGGTGGGCACGTTGAAATTATATCTTCCATATAGATAACAGATGACTATATAGCTATATTCCTATATTATTGTATTATTTTAACTTGATGAGCCATGTCAGGCACTTCCGTGGAAGTCACAGGCTTTGAAATCATTGACATCAGTTATTTACAGGTTAATATAATATGTTATAATATTGCAACGGTCAGCTTTGTAACATTCCTAGGATAGTTGACAGCAAAAATTGATATAGGTAATAGGTACCTATACCTATATTATCGATGACATGCACAAGTTCTTACCTATTTGCAAATTGTTTGACTTACCAAACAAGTAATCATCACAGGTTTTCTTCCAACAACATCTGATATGCCTCCAATAATAGGTGATGTAACAAATTGCAAAAAACTGAATAAAGAACCAAGAAAGCCACCAAATAAAACTGAATTAAATTTATCTGGTGCCCCTACAACCTTTTGGAAGTAGTATACTTGGTCTGATAACCAAGAATATAGTCCTGAGGAGTCATGATCTTTATAATAATCTAACAGTGACGGTAATAATGGTAAAATCATAGTAAATGCTAATAAGTCTAGTAAAAGTGATGCAAAAACGACGTAGACTGTTTTGTGTACTTTTTCGTTGCTTTGATTGCTTCCCTTCATCTTGTATAACTACTGATGATATAAAATTACAATACAAAATTCAATGGTGCTTTAGGTTTTCAATAACAACTACAGTATTTATCTTATCATCTAGATAAAGCTTTCAACTTTCTAGTTTCTAAATAATAATCGTGTTGGCAAAAACATTTTATTTCAAATTAAATATGTATATTATAGCCCAAATAGGCCGACTTTTGAAAGATATGAGAACCGACATATAGATTAAGTTTAAACAGAACAATAATTGGAAAAATTAACTTAAGTTTTTCTCTGTATAGCATTTGAAAAATAAAATATAAAAACAGTTGTGATTGTGCTGACGCGGCTAACGGATTTGTTGACGCTGATGCTGACCTCCTCCTACAAATCCTAGGATGGAATTCCTTTGGAATTCCGAAATTCCCATCAGCTGATTATATTTGAGCTGTTCAGTGGCTGTTCTCATCGTTCTCATTCTACGACTTTCTCTATTTTCACGTGGTAAAAAGAGACGTATAGAGTACACATCATAACTGACCTGAGCCCGTCTCAATTAGGGTGCGTTCGATAACAGCTCTGTTCCAACCCGACATGAGAACCGTTCTAGAACGGTAATTTCCAGTTGCCACCTATTGTTCAATATGTTGAATATGAACGTTTATCCTATGTGATCGACTGGAAATTACCGTTCCAGAACGGTTCTCATGTCGGTTGGAACAGACCTATCAAATTGTGCGGTTGAATATCACACATACAGCGTGTGGTCACCAAAATGTTGCGGCGATTTATCGATTCCAATGCCAAACCCTGTCTTATTCCACAACACTGCTTTTTCTACCATTCTACCACGGTGCCTACAATAGCTGAATTTCACCACACGCGGAATGCTGTTGGGAAAATCAGTGTGGATAAACATCAAAATATCACCAACAAATCTTTGTACACAAAATTTCACCCAATCTTTGTGCGGGTTGATAAGTTGTACAACCACAGTTTCCTCTATTGTGAATGGGGATGTAATTTGATTGACGAGACACTGATATTTGTGAACGGCAATAAGTCTGCAGAAATCACTAACCAGTCACAGTGAATTTCATTGGTTGAAACACGCTTTCTGACTGTTTTTGACTGTTTTCAAGCAATGAAATTCGCTCTGACTGGTTTGCTATTTCTGCAGAAACAGACCTAATAAAGTCTACAGTGACTTTATTACCACGGTGGCGACAATTGCGGTCTCATTTTTGATTGGTTCAAAAATCCCATATGTTTATATTGAAAATGCCGCCATCTTGTTCCCAACCTCTTGTTACTTTTAAATATGAATATATAGGATTTAGGTGAACATCCATCATAAAACATGGAAAACAACGTATTTGATGAACCTAATAATGGTCATCAAATATGCCGATTTTAATTTTTTATGATAGATGTCTATTTAAATCTTATATATTAATATTTGAAAGTAACAAGAGGTTGGGAACAAGATGGCGGCGGGAACTCTATTGTCGCCACTGTATGTAAAGGTTTATTTAGCCACTGTAATAAAGTCTATTTACACACATCAGTGCCAAGGATAATACACACTATTACTAAAGGATAATACACACTATCCTCATAAGTCCTGTGTAGATCAAATTTCAAGTCCCCCACCACGTTAAATAACCAGTGATGACGTAGGCAGCGTGTCGTTTTTCGCCTTGACGTAAGGTGTTTGCAATAATACCGGTTATGATTCCGCGGGCTTTTACTCTATGCATACTTGGTTTTATAAATTAATTAACTTTCTAAAACAACGCTTTTTTAGATTCCAAAATTAACTAATATTTTTCCTCATAAATGTATATTCTAAATTATGACCGCTGGCGCAAACAGCTGACAACATAGTTGATGACGTCGTCAATGGTGCTACACAGATGGCCGCGGTTCCCAAAAACGAGGCCGATAAGCAATCCGTAGTAATGTATATTATCCTTGCTTCAGTGCCGGGACAGTTACTGTGACGTATCCGTGCATCAGTATCAGTGGTAAATAATATCGTCTTTATGTTAAATAAATACGAACACGATCACATGTCTGGCACAGTGCGGCACAGTTTCAGTGTCGCTTCAGTGTGAAAATGAAAAAACGTTGCCAGATTTCACCGATTTCTGTTTGTGACCTTCTTCCGTATATTCAGCCATAGTTCTGAACTCACTCACCGATTTGGGGCCGGTTTCTTAATAGCGAGTCACCTCCGGGTTGGTTTTAACTCCAGGGTAAGCGTCTCCAGTTGCTATATTTACCCTGGAGTAATCCTAAACAGGGGGGTGCCCTGCTATTGAGAAACCTGCCCTTGATCTGACACAATACTGATCTATGTGAATAGGCATCATTGATATGCCACGGATATGACTGATACTGAAGTAATAACTGATACGGCACGAATATGTGTAAATAGACCTTCAAGGCATCTTTACACACATCAGTCGTTGAACAGGAGTGAAATATTATTATTTTCTTTCGCGCGTCTGCGTTATACGTTTCTTTCGTCTGACGGAGCAGTGGATGCGTAAGAACCCCGTTTTATGCAGTCTAGATGCAACCGCAGCGGAAGGTTGCGCGTTTTTGGTTGTGATTAGCTGCTTACGAACTAGCACTTTTCTCACCTAACTTAAAGGATCTAGCGTGTACGATTTGTCACAACTAAGTTAGAATCTGCCTTCCCCCTGCTAAGACATCCGGATTTTTGACTGAGATAACTAAGCTGACCTAGGTGGGCGCGAAATACGCATTTTTTGATTTTCTGATTAAAGGCAATCAACCAGTCGGTCATAGTTGGAAGATAACCAACGAAGCAAATGTCATTTTTCAACCAATCGGTAATAAATGACGTTAAATGCATGGTTTATTTGTCAATATAACCGACTGGTTAATCGCCTTTAATTGACTCAGGGGTCGGATTATGAACATCCGATACGGAAAAATTCCGAGTCGAAGGTAAACTCGGAGCGTATACGCATCGTATCGAACGAAAAAGCGATTACGAACACACGAAACGGCTTTAATCAGCTGTCCGCAATTACATTTTTTAAAATGAGCATACATTTGTCGGTAGAATGCGAAAGCTCTCGCTGGAGGTGACGTCAGCTGCAATCCTTTATTCTTGCGTTTACTGTAGATGCATCATACCTCATTAGATGCATGGAATTGATAAGAAACTTGCAGTGTTTTTATGGATTATGATTATGAATATCTAAAGATTGCAACCATGTTTCGCTTAATACTTTGATATTTAGAAATGCAAAAGTTAAGTCATTATAACAACCTTGTGTTTTTTGACAAACAGGATCATATTGATTATGAAACACTTGGCCAAGGGTGATTTTTATAGTGCATAAAAGCCGTGTGCTTTATAGCATAAACTTTCTAATTACCTCTCCACCTACACGTAGATTTTCTTTTTATACTGTTGGTGAATTTGGCTTTTAAATATTATCCATACTAATAATTATCGTTTTTAGCTTGCAAAAATTTAAATTAAATGGTGATTTTTTTCCGTTTTGAATATTTATCTGGCCAAGTTTTGTACCATTCCTTGTCTTTTTCAAAAGGAATCTCCATGATGAAATTGGAAATAAAAGTTCCATTTTTCAATTTTTTTCTAAATTACATATTATAATAATTGTTCAAATAACACTGGACACAACGATTTTGCTGCAAAATGCTCTGTTTTAATAGAAACAATCCGGTCGAGGGACTGCGACTGACGGCACGTGACGTCAGTCGCAGTACTTTATGTTCGATATTTTGGCGAACGTGTGTCTTATGGCCATGGGCCCGACTCGTCTATCTAGGGTGGATGCTCGCATGGATGTACGAATATATTGTAATGAAAACCATAGATACCTATTACCACAAGAAAAACAAGAAGCAGCAAAACTTACCCCAATACCCAATGGCATACCAAGAAAAACAAGAACAAAACTAAAACAAGTGTATGTGCAAAAAGGACAAAAAACGATTCTGATAACAGCTGTGTCTGAAGCTACGGAATGGTTCTCGATCCGAGTTGTCTCGCTTCGAGTACGTTCATAACCTCTATTCGGAAAAAAGATGGAGGATTCGATTCGCGGTTTGGCAACCGAACCCACCCTGGGAATCCTGTCATACGTCAACATTTATTTTGTAGGTTATAAGGGGTGCGTTCAAAGACGCAATGCTAATGCCAAAACCTACTTTTCCCCCTCCACTGGTAATGCCGAACCACGTAGGTTGGAGCCAAACTTGAACGCAAAATGCCAATTTTGGCTTGGCTGTAGCCATTCCTGAACGCAGCCAAGATGAGTTTGTTGCAAATGAATTATAGCTAAAAACTGGAATGCGCACACAGTGCCATATCTGCCAAAAAAATGAAGCCATGAAAGACAGATGCCACAAGGGGGAATGCAAGAATCGTAAACTCTACAGGATTGCTCAATCGGCTAAATTTGTTCACAATTGCTGTGACGTCACGCGCATGCCGGATTTTCAAGATGGCCGCTGATACGAATGATGTTTAGTTTGTGCTGACAACTATTTTATCGTAAATTCGGATTTATCTAGTGTTATAAGTGTAAATTTAAAGTTTCATTTAATGTGTGTAAGCATAAAAGACTCGTGGCTGAAAATACTCGCGAAAACCCCAAGCATTTTCTGGTTTTATAATACTGGATTTGTTGTATCAGGACATCGCTCTTTTATTTGTGTGTATTGCTAGTTAGTATTTCCTAGTCAAGCATTTGTTTTGCTTTTTTTTTATAAATCAAATATCTACTTAGTTGTAAGTTTCCTTTGCATGTAATTACTAATAAAAATTAGGGTTTGTGAAGAGTGAATAAATAAATATGTAAATAAATTCCTTTACTGGCGCGTTTACTATGAAAACGCATGGAAAATATGGGAAACTTGCAATGTTTTTCTGGAATATGATTATGAGAATCTAAATTAGGTATCACTATTTGGCTTTGTGAAATAAGCTCACTTTGAATGTCCATATTAAATCGTTCTAGTACCTATTAAATTATTGAATAATAATTGAGAAGTACCTAGGTAGGGTCAGTAAAAAATAAAGCACACTATTGCAACCCCGTTTCGCTTATATTTTGATATTGAAATGCAAAAATTATACCGGCTCGGCACTCCACATTTGGTTTTCTACTGTTTCTCAACTGTAGTCAATTGTGCCCGTTTTGTGCTCAATTGTGCCAGTATTTATGCGAATTGTGCTCATTTTCATACACAAAAAAAACATTGAAACGAATCCGGGGGCCAGCTTGACTCCAGCCCTTCGTTTTTTTGACTTTTTGGCAATATGTTTGGCTAATTGATAAACAAAAGCAAACAAACTCGTCTTTCTAATTAGCAATTAGCCAACCACTCAAGCCTCAAGGACACAAGCTTTTGAAGTCTGCTAATTTTAAAATCAATAAATTAATTACAAAATACAGTTTTCAA